AGGTAGGCGAAATACAGTTATAATATCAGGTACAGCATTAACATGAAATCTTTTCGTAAATCGAAATGCACTTTATAATTGGTTTATAATATCGTGTAATGCCTCTTGAGCATCAGGGGATTTAGTTTCAAATGTTACTTACCACAAAATCATTTCGCTTCTCTTTAGCTTCATGCATTTGTAACCCCAATTCCCTCATTTAGAAAATCGCATAGCGCATTTGGTACTCGGTATTAAACCTGAGGCATTAACCTGTGTGATCCCGTGCATTTTTCTTTGAACCACCCAAGTTCTGTACCGCGTAAACAAATGCCACACCAGCTTCTAGGAGATCTAATAATCCAATCATCTTATTTCAGAAAAAAATTCCAAGATTTTATCGGTTGACAGGTTACAAAGAGTTGCACTAGATCACAAGTTCGCTTGACGGACACAAGTCCAAAATGACTCAGTAGTACAGCCCAGACGATTCAAAACATCTGTATCTCAAATCTAATTAAAGCTTGCAAAATGTATTTTTTTAATTTGCTATTTTCAGCAGCAGATCATGGAAATTACGAAGCTTATCTCTGATTACCGGTGCATTGGATAATTCATTTAATTTAGGCGCATCACCGTGCCAAAATACGAGCTGCACATTGTAATTCCTTCTTTTGAAACCGTTCTCAATGGACTGAATTAACATCAAACTCATCTTCTGCCATTGATTCAAAGACATATCAAAAAGATATCGAGAAAAATATCGGGCGATTGCCGTTTGACTTTCTTGCGTCTTTATAGGAGAGAGAATGACAGCTATTTGAATTTAGAATGATGAGTGTTAGTACCCTGCTGCAAAAATGAAAAACAAGTTGCAAAACCTACTATTACGGCATGCTCCTTATTTGTTATTGATTAAACGATATCTTAAAATGAGTGACATGATTATTGCAACTGTTGGGTGTCATTTCTTGAATTCATTATCTAAACAGCTTCATCGACAAAAAAATGGATACGTTAACGTTTGAATGCGTCAGAATAATTTTTTGGTCTATACAATTGTTTTAAGAAGGAAAATTAATATAAAATATCGATATCAAATTAAAACTCCGTTTAAAGTAGGCACGGGAAGTTTAAATACATTCACATTCGAGGGGTAATCCTCGATTTAGTCTGTCTAAAGGATACATTTGGTATGTCACTTTGAAACAAAGTAGGTATTAAATTAATTTTGAATATTCAAGACTAATGAAATGTAAAAAGTAAAAGGGAGATCACCTTAGGAAACCATAGTTACCATTAATGTGTTCAACGTAGGTGTATTCCTCCTCCATAGGTCTCCAGATAAATGGTTCAATAGATAAATGCTTTATTTCTAAATAGCTTCTAATAATCTCTTTATGTTATATATGCACTGAAATTCTGAAATCAGTTAGACCAAAAGTGATTTATATGCCATTGTACCACAAAACAGAATTAAAGTCTAATGTTGAAGAGTGTTAGGGATTTCATATACCCTAACTCGATTTCTTGGCAAAGAGATGAGACACTCGTTTATTTTGGAAACCAACATCAAATGTGATTTCATAAACAAAAGGGGCATTCTTATGCTTTCTTTTTAGGATATTTGCAGGGGGGTCAAAGTTTACTTTGTGGTTACAAAACTCGATACTATTCCGCAAATTTCATAAACAAAAGGGGCATTCTTATGCTTTCTTTTTAGGATATTTGCAGGGGGGTCAAAGTTTACTTTGTGGTTACAAAACTCGATACTATTCCGCAAATTCTGTGATTTTTCAATTTACGTTTACAACAGTCAGTATGTGATACTACTGCTACATTAACCTTAAAAAGGCAATTAACAGTCAAATGTAGATTTTTATGACGAGCTGTAAAATGGCAAAAAGTTCCGTTTTTGGGAACATTATCAAAATGATTTTCTGTTCATTCTAATAGATGCAATTAAATGGGATCAACCAAGCCTGCTGTTCCTATTGACTTATAGTTCGCATAAAATGTCCTTTTAACAATGTTACAGTTGTAGATACATGTGTACAATGTAAAGAGAAATTATTCTTACCTCGTACTGTAGGGTGCTTCTTTTTCAATGCATCTTTCTACATTGTTTATACCTGCCAACATGATACAGAAACACATTTTATCATTCATGAAAAAGAATAAAGCACGCAAAAGAGGTTATAGAGGTGACACGAGGCATATGAATCAAAGTGAATAATTGAAAAACACTTGTTGGCACTAGCCTAGAAGGGGCATTGATCCAGTCCTGCTCTTTCTCAGTGGTAACCACTGTAAACGTACTTAACATTGGGCATGGAATAACATAATATTACATTAAGGTCATTTAGGTGGCATTTACGTGCCTCTCTAGAATTTGGAGTTGCCCAAGAAACACGAAGGACTTTGGTAATAATCTAACAATATTGGCTACCATATGGCTAAGTCGCGGCCTAACCTACAGTCCGTGAAGTGTTATGGATGATTCTTGACTCAAGTCCTATAGCACAGTATGGCAATTAAATCAGATACTTTTAGCTATTTGAATGAGCATAAATGCATATGCACTGGCGGCCATTTCAAATTTCTCTGAACCGAAATCCTCGAGGCAGCTTTGCACGTGTCCGAAACACTACTAAAGTACAATGAAATCCCGACTGAATACTTCTGCTGGGTTAGAGTCGGTTCTAAAAAGAGTGTGCACAGTAAAAGAGGTACTTTACTTCTCAAACCATTGTATATTTTACACATACAGTGTTTGTATCTTAAAGGTATGTTATATTCTTTTCAAATGTTCATAATTAAAATTCAACTCGTTGTAAAAATGTACTTACAACCCTACTCTCGACTTAGAACATCTGTTAAAAAAATTACAAAAAAAAGCTGCTGGGCATTTTTGGCATGGAAACTCGCCAACAAAATTAAGACACCAAGAAAATATGTCTACGGCCACACTGAAATCCGCAGCACATTATCTACATGTATGCAACTTGTTGGTAACGCAGCGAAACCTTAATTGAGATTCTATGACATTTCGGTTGCCCCCAATAAGTAAAACCTTTGCAGACATTCCAACAATGACTAATAGAGAAAAGTGGAGTTTCCTTTATGTAAAAAAGTTGTCCACTTTTTTTTTTGGTCGATTGTGTTTTATTCATAGCTTGCCTAATGTACAGCGTTGGTGACCTTGTAGTGACTGTCGCATTTAATTTTTAGATATTCCAAAATTTCTACTGCACATCTGATGCAGATGAGTCATAGATTTAGAAAAACCAAATAAGAAAAAACTGTATGCATCTATAAATATAAGATATCAAATACCCTTTTTACAAATTTACATAAATTCTGCCTTGCCTCCAAAGAAATCAGTTATTTCTACTTGTAGTCTGCGCCTACACATGAGTTGTAATTCTAATTGAATTTTAATTAAAAATGAGCTTTTTGGACAATCCTTTCTTTGAACTGTTTCAACTGTCCACATTTTGAATAAATTACTTAAATTCATCAAACATAAACGAGAAATTCATTCTACAGTACGAAGTGAAAAGGCTCCGATTTCTAAACGAGATAAATTCCTAGTCTATCAAAGGGTCCTATAAGGCCACAGACTAATAGCAGGCATCCAAACAGCTATCCCCAGAGATGTTCACACTTAGGGGCACGAATGTTCAGTACAGTTTAAGGACTCATGCAATATTATGATATAGCAGATTGCAGACGTCCTCAGCCAGTGTGACGGGAAAAGGTCCCTTTGGAACTGTAGACCCTTCCTCATCACTCTGTATTGTTGACATTCGTCCCATATACATTTTGTTACCTCAATCCTTCGGTTGGCCTTTACCTTATTGAATATATGGGGCCTCCAGCCCGCATTCTATTCCTAGGGCTAGCATTCCTGTTTCACCGATCTTACATTTTTTAAAAACATTTTATGTTCACATAGCAAAGGGACTGACTACATGTAGAAACTTACGCAGTAGCTGTGTGAGTTTCAGGCCTCCTGTCCTTGCACTTGTTCATTCAATTTCCTATATGCACAGTGTATAACTCTGGCAGCTTAACCCAACACCAATCTTACCTATGCTCTCACAGATGAAAAAGAGGAATACCACTTACACTTCCGCCTGGAATAAGTCCCTCAATGTCCCATAAGCAGTTCCAAACAACGACGCTTGTAGTTTGACAATATTATACGGCCACGACCCGCTAAACCATTTTTTTCACACAAACCACAACCTGCACCAACAACTTTCTGTTTTGCAGCGATATCGTGTTTCCACGCCATTAATTATGTATTGATTTCCACAGCTGTTATGTTGTTGACTTAATTACGGAATAATGAAAAGATACAATGTATGAATGAATGACTTGTTTTAGCTGGTTGCATTACTATAGATAGTTAGGAGGCATAACTTTGTATGTGAACGATAATGTGACCTGAATTATTGCTACAAGTGCATGTACGAATCAGAGAGGCTTGATAACAGCGTCTTGTTCTTTTAAATTGATAATTGACAGTCAAACAAGTTGAAATATCATGCACAAATTTCAACTTTTTGGCTAATGGTTTTGGCATGATTCCGCCCACACTACCGGTGCGCCACAGACGCAAGAAAAGATGAGAATGACACAAAATTTGAAATTGACATCCTTTTCATAAATGTCACCACGGTAATAAATGCACGCATAAGTGGCAATCGTTCCCATACTACTTAACTCAACTGTGTTTGTGCAGACTGTCAACTTCGTAACGTTCAATTACTGATAAGCTCAGAGGAAAAGCTCTTTAAATGCATGCTATCAGCCCTTATATACGATTTGTTAGTTCACAGTATATTTTGGTAGAAATACATTCAAAGTGACGCACACCCTCTGAAATTCCTGAAAAATGATTGAAGATGTAGAAAGATATCCCTGTGATTTCGCGAATGCCCTGAATGTATTGACATTTTCAACTTCAAGAATGGCTATGGCGAATAAAGATGAAGCATTAAGATTTTCCTCGATGTGATAAGGCGCCCCATGTTAACACCTTCTAACAGTGACTCCGGCTGCTTTCACGCCTCTCATCATGGGGTCTCACTTTTAAAGACCCCATGATAAATAGCAAACTTCAGAGGTTTCCAGAATCTATTTATACATTCGTGTCTGTTACTTTTCAAAAGCACTTAAAAACGGGACATATCACCTTGTTTACTACGGATAACAACCGAAACCGGACTTTGTATCTCATGGCTTTTTGAGTTTACATAACAAGTTCAGCAGTTGCTCTATTCATTGTGGAATGAAATGAAGGAGAATTGTAACAAGTGCTTGTGGTTAACGTCCTTATCAGGTCTATCTTGGCTCTTTTGGTACATGTAGAAAAAGCCTGGTATAATAGCACATTTTACAGTATGTTAAAGCTACGCACTAAAAGCGCCGTGCGTACATGGTCATGATTAAACTAAGGCGAGGGAATCTTCATGGCACTTTGGTCAAAAAATATAAATTTTACCTCGATATTTTGGAAACAATCCTTTATGGAACACAAACATTTTAATCACAGTGAGCATTTTGACTCTGCAAGTGACCGTTTGGTTTACGTGCATCTCTGCAATGTCATACTTCTTCGCTTTTATTTTCTATATATCATGCACAACTAAAATAGAATTATATCTAATTGTCAATTACACTGTATTTCTCCAAAAAGCTTCTACCAGTAGTTTATAGGACTGGCATTTAATCTGAGACGAATATTATGATATTAGTAGAGAAAGCTCTCGGCAGGTCATAACACCGCATTTCGTCACTTTTCTTTTATTTTTGGCATTGGTTTAATGCATTCCGATGCTAGGGAATTATCAAAAGCCAAGTCTACAGAAGTCGATGACAGCGTATATGTACGTGTACGTGTGTATGACTGCACGCATCATTTACGAACCCTGTTTTCTTGGTTTTCCAGGCGTGCTCGATCAGACTGATTACAGACGCACGAATCAAACATCCTTTAGTCCCCGATGTCCCTTTTCTTATTAAACCAATTATTTGTGCTCCTGAAATATCAATATATGTCTTTATGCCCTGGGTATTTTATAGCGGCGGGAGTAAGACATGTCGATATTAATTAGGTAAACCCTCAGCCTTTTCCGAGTTTTGAACTTAGTTACTCTACTTTGTCTGCCGTATGACTAAATAGTGCTGCTAATACTCACCAAATTCTCCAAGGGTGCCACTGCCTAAAGCTAGAGACAACCATCTCATTTCCCCACAGTTTAAGTATGCCAGCCCTTTTAAAATGATTGCTGTTTCGTTGCTTTTGGTTTCTTCAAACTGTACGTCACCTATCACATGACCTAGTTTGTAATGAAACTAGTTATAGTTTTCTTTATCACATGCAGCTGAGTTGATCGTGCTCTGTCAAGGGCGCACTGATAAAGAACAGTGAGGGTTAGGTTACTGACGCGCGTTTATGTTTGCTAATGTGCGTGCACACGTGCGATTGCTAATGTTAACAATTTTCTGTGGCTGTTATTTCGTGTTTGTACAATGTGTCCAGGAATGAGTGGGTAAGCCGGCTTGCTTGTTGCTTGTGAGTTCAAGCGGTGGTTTGCAAGTTTACAGAATATGTTAAATAACAAACAATATATTTTATATATCAAGCCCTATGATTGCGGTTGGTCGAGGTATTCTACCATTTCTTGAATCTTTTTATACCTGCTGGATACAACACTTTCTTCTAAGACCCCATAGGGATTTTGCATCAGAAAAATATTTCTTGGGGTGCGTTCAGGATAGTGATAATCAATACCACTTTAACACTATAGGAAGACGTTTGATTGCAACACCCACTATGGAACCTTGGGTTTAACAGTAAGAATAATGAAATGAGGAAATTTACATGTTAATTGCACGATGACATAAGTTTCCCGGTATAACAGATTTATTTATCTTCTGACGTTAGCATAAAAGCGCTTTTTCAAATGGCCTATGGCGGTTTTAAAGGTACTTTAGTGTCCATGTATCTTATATGGCCAAGAAAAGTAAAGTGCGTATATCTCACTTTTGCTGAAACTTACTGCTGTCATATTTCACATCACTCAATGGCCTAGTCTGTGTTTGCAGTAGGTCATTGCTTAGATGGACAACCTCCCCACAAATGCCATTTCTTAACTCTGTAATAGATTTAAAAAAAAACCTTTGTATATAGAAACCTCAGGAGAGAAATGTAAGAAGTTAAATCATTTGTCTGAGAACATCAGATAAATTTTACTCCTAGGGCAGAAATGTTCGATATACATTGCCAGTATTCGGAGGACGTGCAGAAATTGCCTGAAAGATTAACCTTTAAGCAAAAGATTCAATCATTGAGCGGATCAACCAATCAGGGAACCAGTCATGCAAAAAGTACGTCACGTTCATTTAAGATTTACCAAATACGACCGCATTGTGTAATTGTTCTTATTTGTTCAACTTTATTTCATATCCGTTTTCGATTACTGTTCACCGAAGGATTCCTAATCTTCTCGGTGAAGGCTCTGAACTATTAGGTGCTGCATGGAAAAAGCAATTGTTTGATTCCGCACTATTTTTTTTTTTTGTGTGTGTGTGTGACGGACAATTTTTCAATAAGATAGAGGGGACTTTTTCTGACCTTGACCACATTTTACATAAAGCCAGAAATTTGAACGCCTTCTAAGAGCATGAATGGCTTCTTGTTGGATATTCTTGGCTACCCCTTGAAACTGCTGTCATAAGTTAGGTATTAATATTTACATTTTCTTCCTTTACTGTCTCATTATCCAAATAGCTCTTTCATTTACCTACACACTGAACTAATTTTTTTCCGGCGGCAAAGCTATTGATCAGGGACTTTGATTCAGGCTTTTTACACAACGTAATAAGATGCATGTTACATACACATCTATAAGAAATATTTCCTGTGGTAGCGAAAGGAACTGAAAAGATTTGTCACTACATTTTTTCAGTAGCCTTGATTCGCCAAGACTTTTTTGTTCAGAGTAAGCTAAAAATGGTGAATGTTGCTCTCAACATTTTATTTGAGTTTTGTGCTTTTTAAAACATCTCTGCTCTTGTCGCACCCGTTGACCTAATATCACATCTAGACGCCATTTACGTCAAGGGAAGTTGGAAGGACATTTCAAAGTATTAGAGGTAACCCTAGGCAAACCGACTATCAAGAGGTTATATTTACCATAGAAAGTTTCTTGTTAGTGTCCTAAATAAATTTCTGAGTAACATGTAGCATGGCATTGAAAAATTCAGTACATGAACACTGCCACGCTTTCTTAGGCACTTAGAATTAATTTTAGGCATTCCACGGACAAAACCAATTTCATGCAGACAAAAAAATTAAAAAAAAGATATCGTAATACGTGTGTTTCTCAAAATGCCAACAATACGTCATTTGTAAGATAAAAGGTTCCACATTAGCAGGTAAAAATATTCATCAGTGAAATTTAGTTTTCAAATAAGGTCTATTTTATTGACAAATACAGATACACCAGCTACAAGGTGTATAGTCGGGGTTTTTGCTACGTGTGACTGCACCAAAAGAACAGCCACGCTGTGGCATATCCATATGCAAGGTGTAAAGGTTTCACGTTTCCATCTAGCACAACATAGTCGTATACTAATAGTGCATGAAAAATACATGTACACTGGAGCCTACAAGTTCACACTGCAGTTTCAAAATCATTTTCTTAACAAAACATTGAATTGATTATCTTACCTTTCTTGGTTCCTGACGCGCAACTTACATGTCAGAGGAATCTTTCTCGTGTTATTGGAAGTCGATAAACCATAAGTTAAAAAAAAGAAGTCTGCTAACCAAGGAGGGTCAACAAATCAGGGATGTGTATGCCAGCGCTTATACTATGGTTATTTTTATCCTAGGCAGCTAAACTGAGGAGTAAATGATATGTATTTTACAATTCAGTGATTATTTTCACATAAACGAGTGGATTTATGTTGGACTGAAATAACTGACGTTAAGGTGCGCTGTGTCTGCAAGTTTCAATTGTTTGTCGTCAGTTTGATTATTTGCTTTCTTAAATCAAGTCCGGACCAAGTAAAATCTATCCACGTTCTTCCACTAACATTAAAAAAAGCCTGAATGCTAGATTCAAACTTTATGTTATCGAGATTATTTTAAAATCTAGTCTAAGTCGCGTGAACTTTTAAGTCTTACTGTGACCGATATCCGGAACGCGTAGCAGCCTCGATTGGCCTTTAAAATACTGCGTAGTTAGCCCCAAATATTAAGTACACGTTCAAGTCACCTGCTGCTTTTAAAGGAACTTTCAGCCATTAACTATCGATTAAAATGTTCTTCTTAAGGTTAGGATGTAATCAAGTGGATTCGTGAAATATGTAAAAGCTGCACAAAACAGGCAATGATGAAAATAATACATTTTCCAAAGCTTTCTTCTAGGTATTTGATCCTAAAATACCTGTTGTTACTGTAAACGGCGCATTCAAAGAATTTGATTCAAATGTTTTTAACATGTGGTTACTTTTTTTTGGCATTGGCCCTTGTCATACAATATCTGGACTTTAGCTGATGACAACATTTCATGCTTATATTACAATCACTTAGGGTACGTTTATATTCACCTTAAGTAAAGGCCCTGTCGTTTATCAATTAACCATATATACTAAATATTAATAATACCAACAGATACAGATATTTTTGTGCTACTTATGGCCTTTAGTTGCTTTAATATAGTTATAAAACCACGCCAGTCAGTTTGTTTGAAAAAGATTTGTTTTATAAAATTGCGTTCAAGTAAAGAATCACTAAGAAGAGGAGACTCTGGACCATTTTGAGATATATAATTTCACATTCATTTACTTGTGATTGCCTATTCTTCCCTCTGTTAAGCTGTAGCATAAGGATACCTTAAACCTTGGGTCCATTATACATGTATGTTGGGTCCAAGCATAATCAACGGCCACGTGTGACTACTTGGACACTGAAATGTCAGTAAGCTTGTACTGAGTTAATGTTTATTTTCCTCTGATAATTGTATCGCGTGAGGCTTCGCAAATATTTTCTTGGAAATCGCTTGATTTATGTTATTTTTCACGACTCTGAGGTTTCATCAACATCTTTTAAATGCCAGGGTAGAGGCTGGTGTTTGACTGATACTGCATTTTAAGCCCCAAGCTCTAAATTCACCGAGCATTAAATATCAGTGGACACAAATTGAAATTTATCATACTCTTTGCAACCCCACAAATTGAAATGTGTGCACTATTTGTTTGGAAATTGGGACCTTCAATAAATGCGGCCGTCATCGGCCAAATTTCGAACATCATGCTTGAGTTTGTTCTATTCTTTTAACTGGCACGTCTTATTACTTAAATCAGCTAAGATCAAGGAGACAAATACTGCAACCTGGAATCAAAACTACATGCAGCACGGAGTTAAAATATTTGAGCTCAATTACATGTTGTACCTGCAAACATAATTTATCATTTGGTAAATGCCTTTTTTATCTGAGAAAGGAGCAAATGCAGTATAGCCATTGGTTGACACGCTATTTACTACTTAACGTACGAGTTAGAAACATGCAAAGTTGCGAATGATGTTCTGAGCTTTTTATGAAGTTGAAATCGACAGGTAAGGTCCATGTTCCGAATCTGCCACATAAAGCTTATGAGCAGCCAAAAAAGATTATGCATATTGCATATTGTATAACAGTGCTGGAATTAAGGAAGAAATCGACTCGGGCACAACTTCTGCTTGTAACTCGGGTTCATTTCATATTTCATTTCATCTCATTCCAGTCGAGATAAAAGAACATTTTAAAGTGCTGTAAGTATTGGTCTGCATAGATGTATGTATATTTTATCAGTTATCAATTTCTTAGGCGATTTACTCTGACACTTCTGCTTCCTCCACACCCACACTCCAAGCTAGACCCCAACCCGTCCGTGTCAATAAACGGCACAACTTTGCACCGGGCCAACTGTTTTTTATGTCCTCTATCCTATGCATTACATAGTGTATGTAGGCAGTTAAACGTTTTGGGTGGTGCACTTTATATATTTGTTTTACAACCGAGCGGCAAATTCTTAATTCGAGGTTTACGTGCTTCTGTTTTACGCCTGACTTTATTTAGGAAACCAGTATTTTGTTTGATGTGCACGTGCGAGTGAATTGTTTGCAATTGAAGCGTTATACACATGTAAGAACTTTGTCACAGATGTCATAACCATGTCATGAATCATGCATGTTTACACGTTATGGACTGTTGAAGAACACAACATACTTGTGCCTAGTTATTGAAAAACAGCGATCAGTCAGTGATGCTTTAAAGACTCATTTACTCAAACATACTAAAGAGGCAACATAGGTCAAATGGGCGCCTTAATGTGTTTCTGTCTCAAAAATGATTTATAAATTAGACTCCCGGATTCGTGGAATGTTGCAACATTGACCATTTACGAACATGAACATGCTGTTTTTAAAGCTGCCAGCTATAATTTATAAATGAATGGATGTGAACGGATTGTGCTGACATGTGCAAATCAATTGTCCTGTATGCTTCAGACTTTAAAATAATGCAACAGAACATTACAAGAACTGTAAGGTACGCTTAGCCATGACAGAACCTACAGTTAACGTTCAGACATAGTATGTTATTTAACAATATGCTATACTGAAACAGATTTCAACTTAAAATGTTCGACATTGATAAAGCAAACTGACGGCAGATGGTATAATGGAAGCGCATTTGTCAAAATGTGTATTCCACCAAGTACAACAAACACATCATGAATTACAACCTGGCACACACTGGCACTCTCTGTGTTCAATCACGCCAATGGTGTGAAAACAAACACGTCTCTTTAGAAACTTTACGTGTCCAGGGAACCAATGGGTTTATGATGTTCGACTATAGTTCGACCTATATTAACATAAAATTAACTCCATAATGAATATTTGATTTGCGCCTCTATTGGTGTTTTGGAATACACTGTCAAAGCAGATCATATCATGTGAAGGCAAAAAACATATGACACATCGAACTTATTGGCATAGGTTATCTTATGTGCACGCACTTTATATCCACAAAATATTTAACCGCCTTATTTATACAAGACCAGCAAAAAGGTAAAAAATAAACATCACTTGGGTTTAAACATGGGTTTAAGTTCGTATACAGTTGCTTACATTGAAAAGCACCTTTTCCAGCAGCTATAAGGTAAGAAAAGGACAAGCCCATGTGACGAACAGGAAGTTTAACCCGGCGTTCCATTAATCGTAAAATAGGAAAGCACATACGTATTGTTAGTAGGGGTCTGATTTATGTGTTTAACATTACGGCATCATTAATGATAGTTAAAAGCCGATGAAAAGGTGTTGAATTAAAAGCCTTTTCACTGTGATTGATTATACTCGTATGGGATAGGTATTTTCAAATGCGATTCTTCAAATAAATGATCACGGGGAAAAAGAGAGATAACACGCATGAGTTGGACCACGGTGTGCAATTTATTAGCTGGCACAACTGACATCCACTGAGTGCTTCACAACCTGGCCGATCTGATCTTCTTGTCAATTTGACTATAATTTACCTGTAATTTTGCTGGTAATTTGGTACCTGCCACTTCAAACATCACTCAGTTTGGTACTTAACACGAGTTTTAGTACATTCCATTTTATTAAGGAGTGTTTGAAAGCACATTAGTTGGTAAGAGGTGATATACACTCCGGTATATACACTCGCTACATGTCTAATCAAGGATTAGTGGTGCTTTTACAATGTTCCAGAGCCTAAAAACTTAAAACGCAACAGCTTAAATAAAAAGCCAACGTCACCCAGCCGTATAGGAAAAGACATGTTACCAATCGACAAAAATATTTACGAACAAGCAATGTCAAATACCCAGAAAACAACAAGCTTGATTTGACGTTTTTATAAAATTCACGTTCATCGTTTCACAGTGGTTTCTGGAACATATGGTAAATCACTGAATATTTATAGGTAGGTTTTCAAGTCGCAAGTCTAAATTTAATTCTGATATTACGTATTGGGAACCCCATCAACGTATCTTCATTTCTTGACAAGCTTTCCTTGTTAGAACAGGAATAGCATTTTAATTGGTATGTCTGGATCAACAGACTCTTCGGTAAACTAGATGTAACCATCCTTGTATTACCTCTTCATCACTGGGAAAGCAAGAACGTTTGGCACACCATGTGTAACAAGACAGCAGGTAATATGCGTAATGATACCCCAGAAACAAGTCGGGGCTGTTCGGTGTTTATAATTCTACTCCATGGATAAATTTCCGTACGACCTCACGCCAAATGACCAAACAAACATTTACACTTGCGAAAACACGCGTTAGTGAATGTAATTTTGGTTAATCCCATTTTTTTTACAGGGATTGCATTATCAAAACGGTTCTTCTCAAGAGATCGCATGCAAATGCAAACGCATGCAAATAATTCAGTGCTTTTAAACCCAAAAAAGTCACGGTTGTCACCTAGTTCTGTGAACAGATTCAATACCCCTTTCGCACAAAGTTTGCGAACTTTTGGAGAAGGGTTTTGGTCTACTCTTCTAATCGATCGCAGCGTATTTCCTTGGGGATGCATGGTTGTGTCCAAAGGATCCTCATAGTCTCCAAGGTCGTCTCTTGTTCTGTGCCACTAGGTCAACTATGGGTTTCGAGTGTTAAAAACACTCACAACCAGTGACAACCGCAAGAGGTTTTCACGTCACTATATGTAAATCTTTATGATCTGACAGGACAAAATCAGTGTGCTTTTTCTTCGTTGCGACATACTATAATGGTCGCAGGTATTGTTGTAGAGCAAGTAGATTGTGAACTAATGGAACTGGAACACGCCTTGAAATTATGTGCAATAACGTCACATCACTGTACCATGCTGTCTATGAACCAACCAATTTATTCCTTTAGTTTGTACAACACTGTTTTTTATTTTTACTCAAAAGCTGGATCTTACATCTGTGATTTACATGCTACTTCTTGTTCAATCACTTCGCAATTCTTAGTGAAGTTTTTTTTTCAGCAAAACAGAACGCGGAGTTTAGTCCCTCTCATAGACCCCATTTCCATAGATTTTAGATCGATCTATGGGGAGTCTCACTAGATTACTGTCTGCTTAGCCGGCTTAAGCGTCCTGTCCCGCCTACTGAAAGCTGTAAGGGGGTAATTAACTATGGTGCGCGCTCGGCTGACTGCAATTTAGCGTGAACCCCCAGGGAGTAAGGTCGATCTAAATCTTAATCTCTGGATCGATCTAAATCTCTGGGAATACACCCACACAGTGCACTTACAGGTTCTTAACGAATATTGGGTGTGAGAAGTAATTTGGTATTTGAGATGTATCTGACCTTAGGATTTCCGGGTTAAAACAGTCGGTAACTAAAACACAAGGATTCGTCAGAATTTAGGATTCATCAATATAGCAAAATCAAGGTCTCATCATGAAGAAGAGATGTGAAAAATATGTTTTTGAACTTTACTTATTTATTTAAATATATAATACATGCTAATTGACTTCAATGTCTAGATCATGGCGAACGTTTGGGGACTTTTAAGCTGATTATAAATTAATTTAGCATTAATTTACCATGACAGAGGTATATAACCAAGGTAGTATTGCTGAAATAAAATGAAATAGGTATACATGTACCATTTGTACACTTGGCCCAGTTCACATTTGTGTACTTTCTGCTCATTCATCCTGTCAGTTTGTTTTAGCTGAGTTATTCAGTGCTGTAGTCTAATTGGTTATGGCCAACGTATCAGGACTGGGTGTGTAAATAACACGCTCCAGCTCTTGGTTATACTGTATCTAGTGTGATGTGTTATTCAGACTATAAGATGCACACCCCTTGTTGGTTTGTCCAATTTATAGATACTCGGAAGTACACATCCTAAATAACATTTGGCGATGGGGAGATGGCATTTGATGAAGTAATGGTAAGTGGTTACTCTTAACCTCTCCTCTACATGGGTCAAAACTCATGAATTTAATACGGCTGCATCAAACACAGACTTACCTGAATACAACCAAACGAGAATTGATCATTGCAGCTATTGAATGATAGCAGGATATCATATCAAGAAAGAAACATTTATTTCCCTGAGTTTAAAGATATCTTATTAAGTGTATCTTGTTTTGCAATACATACTTTATAATTTCTACAAATGATGTATCTCCCCCTAGCGAAATATCAGGCCTGTCGCAAACTTTTTTAAATTTGCGGCAAATTAGCAAGAACATGCTTTCTTGCAAACTTACTGCAAACCTTTATACAAAGAAGGGGTTTCTTGCAAATTTGCAAGAATATAAAGACTTTTTGCAAACTTGCCGCAAACTTAAGATGTTCTTGCAAATTTGCTGTGCATAAGCGGCAATACACTTTTTTCTTGCAAACTCCCAGAAGCAAACTTTTAGTTTGCAGCGAAATTAACGGTAAATGCAAATTTGCTGCAAACTTTTCTTTTTGTTAAGGGTGGAGAAAAACATGAATGTCTTTACGGGACGTTTTTGCAATTGATTTTACCAAACGAAAACTCAAATACGTGGTATTACTTACTTTCGCGGTGACCAAGTACAATAAGCAGTGCAAAATGTTTGTATTCCTTGCAGGACAATAAAACAATTTCTTAATGCCAAATAATGGGTTGAAAAAAGCACAAAAAAGTTAAGACCGCGCGTTTTTCCATCATGAAACTCATCCATAAAGCTTCGGACCCAGATGGAATATCCTCCAGATTGTTCAAGGGTTGTGTAGCGCAGTTAACGCAAGTGTTGGCCGATATTTTAACTCTCGACTGAACCGTGCAAAGCAACCGTGTCTTTGCCTAAGACTAAAATTGGACACTTAAAATGATCTCTGTCCAGTCTCCCCGACACCAGTGTCTGGGAAGACAGTAGAAAAACGTGTTATCTTTTTCCAAAACTTTGGTTTCAAAGAATCTTGAGCCTCTCCGGTTTGCTTCTCGCATTAATAGAAAAGTAGACAATGCACTCAGAATATATCTACTTGATTAAAAAAAAATTGTTAGAATTGTATTTGTGTCCCATAATGCATACTAGCTCACCGCAGCTGTTTTTTCATAATGATGAAGCTAAAGAATACCAAAAGCTGTTTTGTTCAAGTTTTGTTCACTATAGCTGAGCGCCAATGAATTCAAGTAAACTGCGTTTTTCACCTTTAATGGCTTTTACTTCCAACTAGCTCTACGTGATTGGGTTTAAGATTTTTTCTTTTAANCTATTTTTTGTCCCTTTAAGCAGAAAATAGTCTGTGAAAGTTGATCTTAACTTTTCAGACACAATCGATTTTAACTGTGGCAACTCTCGGGGTTGCGTAAAATCACCTAGCTTACACGCATATATTTACATAAGAATGCGTTGCGAGTGAAGAGAACATATTTTGGTGAAGTTTGTCTATGGTACAACATTAGTCAGTATAATTCATGATAATTATGATCAGTCTAAGAACAGGCGATCGTTATCATCTTTAGTGAACTGGCGTACAAGAAATGGTTTGATCTGGAATGTAAGCGAAACAAAAGAGCTAAATAATGGATCAAAACTCCAAAGCTACCATTAGAATAAAGGGAACGGGAGGAGACAGGATTGTGCAGGAAGTGGCGTCTAGTGGTGTAAGACGTGAAGTTGAGTGCCCATTTATAGATGGAGGTGAACGTAAGTGAAGACGTGAGCTCAGAGAAAAAGCGGTTTTTACAACAACACGGTAAGATTTTTTTTCTTTTGGCATTTTGGGCAGAGAATACATGTAGCAGTAATAAGTACATTATATAAAAGCGTGTTACGAAACTTGTAGGTGGAAAATCGTGCTTAATTTGAAATCAATTTGTTTCGAAATATATGCTGCATCAACCGACAGCGCGACAAAGAGCGTCAAGGGAAAAGAATTTCCGTGAGGCTGTATTTTTCATTTTCATTTTCATTTATTTATTACTATGGTCTCTTGAGGACCATCAGTCTAGTACTGGTACAAATGTTACAACGACTATAGTTACAACAACTATAGGGTTATTACAAAGAATAATTATAATAGTAACAGTCGCAATCATATTCATCATAACAATAATAATAGTACATGTAGTAAATTAAATACATGAGTACTTAAATAAATAAACTACTTAAATAAATCAAATTAAATCAAATTGAATCAAATGAGATCAAATTGGATCAAATTAGATCAAATTAGATAAGATCTCATGCCGAAGCCTTCCTGCTTGGCTAAGATATCGTGCCAGGTTACATAATACTTTCTTACTGGAAGAATTCAGCAGGAGAACCAATTTGAACACCGAGGGTCTATTACAGTAGAAAGGTTTGATGAACCTTTTTCTTAAATCTAAATATCTAGAGCAACCCAGTATAAAGTGGAATTCGTCCTCCACATCATTGCAATAGGAACATTTTCTTTGTGAAATAGGGATTTTACTGTATCAGCCCGTTTCAATTGCAAGTTTATGGGATGATAATCTTATTTTACTAATCATTTTCTTAAACTGTAAATCGTTGTCATGTGCAATTTTTGCATGAATGTAATCTGATATGCCCATATCTTATTATTTTTGGGTGTCTTATGGTGTGTGCTGCACTTATAACGATGTTTTAGAGTCCTTAAAGGACCTTTTAAATACCAGGAAATAGTTCGTAACTCACAACTGGATCGCACCGAATCACGATCGCTGTGCAGTGATCTTTTTATAAATCTTGTGACGAGTTTTTAGATGGTTATACAGTACGTCCAGGTGACGAAAAATTCCACATGCCTGTATTATCACAGTAATACACATATTACACCGGGGTACGCAGTAATCAGTGACAAATGCCGTGACAAAGATGACATTCTGACAGCCTCTTATCTGAGCTAAAAGTCACATGCAATCACTTGCCCCAGGTTGTCAATCAATAGCCTTAAGAAACTGGTCGGGTTGGATCTTATCTACCTGTCAGAAGCGATTTACAAATGAGTATTGCATGTACCTACCTGTATTATTTCTACAAGTGTTCTCTGCCCAAAATGCCAAAAGAAAAAATGTTATCTTAGCGATTTGTTGGAAAACCGCCTTTTTTCTCTGATCCCATATCTTCACTCCCGTTCACCTCCAGCTAAAAATGACCACTCAGCTTCACGTCTTACACCACTACATGTCACTTACGGCGCAATCCTGTCTCCTCTGGTTTCCTTTATTGTCTGTTTTATAACTATAAGCTAATTTAATGGGTATTCAGATCAACAATAGTCTGACCTGGAATGATTAGGCAATACAGCAATTGTTCTTTTTACCGAAAATGAATCCATTTTAAATTAACGAACCTTTCTATCGTAGGATAGGATAAGTAAATAACTTAACTAAGCGTTAACTGCATGGTATGGTCGTGCAGTTGTAGATGACAAAAACAGATTGGAAAATAGTAAAGACAAGTGAGGTAATTCGGACATATCTTGCCTTCATGCAAACTATTTATCGCAAAAGGGTAGCAGATAAAACAGTGCCAGTCATGAGCAACAGTTCCCACCCAGCTCACAACATTTAAAGACCTTTACAAGATACTCTAGGATGTTAGGCTTTGAAAGTAGATCTTATCAAGTTTTTTTATCAATCATCTAAAACATTTTTATTTATTACTTATCCTATAATACAAGGCCAGTTTGAAACCCTCACTCGTAGTCTCACCAACGCGTTTAGGCAGAGTTGAAACAACTGGGAGAAAGCTGAGGAACCATCCAACATCTAGCCTGTGACGGAGAGCAGTGGGATATCTTTGTTGTGTCTCATAGACGCCAGTCGGCGTAATAAGAAGTTGGTGATGATAGCACAGGGCCGCTTTTATAGAAAGTAAGCATTCCCTCGGATAGTATCTACAGACTTGACATTTAATATGGAATATTTCAGTTTTAAAGGTATATCTAGGTAAAATGCGTTCTTTATCCCAAAAAATTCAGATCTCATATAAGATACCTGACTGGAGAAGTGTGAAGTCAGGTGTGTCGCTACCAATTAACTGCTTATCAAGTCTGTTGCACTGCTGCATTATGTAATATTCAATGATTTAATTGGGTAGTGCTCCTTTGGGCTGGTCAAAGCTTGGCTTTGGCGAAGCATGGTTCTGTCAAAAAAGTATCCATATGTCAGCAACTGCTGCATAGAAGAATTTGAAATTTTGCTTGCAAGCCGTTGGTTTTGCAGTGCGTAAAATGAGTTTAGCGGTGTTTTACAAAATTGTTAAGGTGTGCCAGAATGGCGCGAAAAAGACAGACATTGCCAGACAGATTATTGCGCCAAATGGAACGGTCTGCACAGTTTCATAGAGTAATGCCCAGACTTACGTATCCACACAGAGACCACGCCCAATGTATCGTTATCTTACCACCTGGGTATAGGATTCAATGTCCTTCAGGATATGCTGCTGCAATTAAACCCAAACCACCCAGTCCGTTTTGAATGAGAGGCAAATTGTCACCAAAACGCGTTTTTCAAGGCTCTTAGCGAACACCAAACTGGTTTTAGCAGGTTAGAATACCAGGCCACCTCTGAGGAAGTCACTGTAAACAGCAAAACAGCGTAGTCTGTTTCTCTAATGATTTGGGGACCATGACATTTTCTGGGTAGAACATTGATACCGCGTGGTTTTCTTTATTGAGGTCAGATTTCACCTGTACCGCTAAATTGGTCAAAACAGAGTTTACAGAAATCCCGAGAGGGATTCTGAAGTGACTAGGGTCATTGGCAGTGTCAGTATTTGGAGTGGATACCTCATTGGTGCCAAAACACCAATGGAAGTCATCGATGAAAACCTGAACCAGATCAAATAAAGGAATAATCTGGGAACCACTTGACTATCATTTGATAGGGGGCACCTTAGGAACAGATTTAGGTTGCACGATCAGATTGCCGGTTCACACAGAACACTTTTAATAGCAGAT